AGTGGTTACCCTCGCTTCGCTCGATTACACCCCTAGGTGTCTTTTGCATGTATATTCCCACAATCACTCTTTATTTTCTACTAGCGACTCATCCTGGCTTCGCTCGGGTTCTTCTCTAGATTAATTCCCCATACAAATTTTCATCCCCATTTTAACTCTCAATCTTCTTACCTTTCATCTAAATCGGTTCAGAAGTTTCGGAGCCTTTTTTTTTTAACGTTGAGAAATGCATTTACGCACGAGGTGTGGGACTCACCGGCAAAGCCAGTACTACCCACTAAAACCCAACAAAGCCTTCCCCCGACTTAATGGGGCGTCGCAGGATCGCTTACGCATTCAACTACGACGCCCCGACGGCAGGTCTGCCGAAGCAGACCACAACGACCACGAGGTTGCTCCAAGGTCCACTCTGCTATCAGAGAAGTACCAGGAGCAACTTGCATGGTACACCGCCCTCCGAAGAGGGCCGCCTCCTACCGCCCACCGAAGTGGGCCACCTCCCTGTGCGTTTCTTGGCTTCGCGCCCGGTTGGGTTGCCGGGCACTACTGAGCCCCCCCACCACGACAAGGTGAACGCACGTTGGGGGGGAGAAGTTTCGGAGCCTATTCGGTACAAACAAACAAAAAATGAAATCTTTCCTCTTTATAATATTTATATAGATAAGTATCATATACCAGATACATACTTATCTTTGTCTCTAGTATCAAAAACATAGGAGTTTCATACTTTCATTATAACCCCTTTAAGTATTATTATCTCAAAAAAAAGCCTATGTTCTTCTCCAAGGTCCCATCTATCTCTATACCAAAATTCATCAAAATTGGTTAAGAGGTTTAGGTTTGAACAGTTACTTTCGCATTTATAATATTAGTATGTTTGCCTCATGCTTTGACATTCAACCGCGATATACTATGTACTTTAATTTAAGCGACTATTTTATATATTTAAACAGCTCTCTTGGACAAGATAGCTTTCTACAATTACTATGTCATGTGTGAGTCTTAAGTCCGAGCGATAGTGGCAAAACTGCCATTTTTCAGAGTACAGGCAAGCAAATCTATCCCACGGGAACCTTACACCTTTTCCGGGACCTATATATAGCCTATACGGGCTATCTAATGCAAAAAGAATTTTTCAATTTTCCTTTTAGCTCCTGCGATTAGCGCGTTAAAAAAATCAACTCTGCCTCTTTATAATATTAATATAGATTTGGTTTCTGAGGAGGATGCCAGCTATCTATTTGATTGTGTACTTTTTTGAATGGAAGACTCTTAAGAAAAAAAAGTGCGTGTGTATGCATTTCACACATGGTAGAAGTGAATCTTCAGAAAAGTAACTTACGAGAGAATGAGATGGATATTCTCGGAGAGTATCAGGAGTAGGAAAACTATAAGGTTTATAGTTTTTATTTTAAGGTTTACAATTTATTTGACATAAATATACATTACACATTATTCAGTAATTAAGTTTATTATTTATCAATTCTTGTGTAATGTATTCTATCTCAAATAACAACGGTTACCATGGCAACATGGCAATGTATTGTATCTCATTCTCTCGTCGGCTTAATCCTATTATTCCTTATATTCACGTGTTTATCTCTTTTTAGTGTTGCATTTCCATTTCATTGAGTTTCAAATCACAACGATTCTAAAGAAGTTTCACTTCAAAAAATTGAATATAAATTAATCTCAAGAAAAAGTTCCATACAACATTTTTTGTAGGTATATAGAAATTAATCTACCTTTTTTGGTTAAAATGAAATAATCATTAACAATGTATTAAAGCCGCATACCTTCGCACTACAACCTTCACCAACACACTGAAAACGATATAGAAATCTCAAGTTTAATTTATTTATTTATGATATATGAACTACATTTACTACACTATACACTACTACAATATCAGTCTTCATCCTTTCTGGTTGTTCACTATGTATTTAAAACAAAATGGTGTTTAATTTTTAATTTGGCCTTTAGAAGTTTCTGACAAAAACTATTATAATAGTAAGAATTCCCTACTATTGGACTACTATAGAAATAAAACCACTATCATATTGCGATGTTTAGTCTAGAATCTTTTTTACACTACTTACTTTTTAAAATCCAAATATCTTTATATATATATATATATATATAATATATATATATATATATATATATATATATATATATATATATATATATATGAGGCCTTCAACTCCCCTGTCAGCTTTTATCCCTCAGTTATGTTACGCACTATAGAAAGATGTTTGAGAAGTCTTCTCTAGTCATGCGAAGATGAGGAAACATAAGTACTTATATCATTAATATTAGTATGTATTCAGCCCTTCTTAACGTCCCACTGCTGAGCACGGGCCTCCCTTCTATATGAGGGGGATCAGGCCATAGTCCACCACGCTGGCCAAGTGCGGGTTGGCGGACTTCACATGTCTTTCGAAAACTTGCTAGAATCTCTCAGAGATGCAGGTTTCCTCACGATGTTTTCCTTTACCGTAAGGCAAGTGGTAATCATGTTGAAAATGATTCGCACATCAAAATATCAGAGGTGCGAGACCCGGGATTTGAACCCGCTTCACTCGGTTATCCAAGCGAACGCGTCACCACGGGGTACCACTGCCTATTTTAATATTAGTATAATTAATTATTGCAAATCAATACCATCGCGAAGCATCCAGGTCCTTTGCACTGAAAATATAGAGACAATCTTTAACAATATTTCCAAATTACTAAAAATATCGGTCGTGAGTTTTTTTGCTAGTGATGAGTGGAAGTTACCATGGTTTTGGAAGTACAGGTCTGTTCCAAAAAAGCCGGTAAAAAACTCAACTGACGCTCTTTTGAAAAAGTATTTTCACGATCATTAAGATATCAGGGCTAATGCTCACCACTGTTTGAATTGACACGTTTGTATCTGTATAGATACCTAAGTAATATACGTTTTTAATGTTTTTCAGTGCATAATTCGGACAGATGATAATATATAGTTTAAAACTACACATATCTAACTTACTCTATCGGTATAAAAGCACTTATTATTTCTACAGAATATAGCATAGGAAATTGTAATAATAAATCTTTATAAATTTGACGATACGTTTGGCTCAGTTTGTAGTGACCCTACTTGCTGTGCTAGCGGTCGCGGGTTCGAATCTCGCTGGGGCATTCATTTGTGTGATGAACACGAATGTTCGTACCCCAGTCATGGGTGTTTATATTTATAATATGTATGTATTTAAAAGTTATATATGTGTAGTGTATCAACTATCTGGTATCCATAACACAACTTGTGTTTCACAAGCCTCGTAGCTTACTATTGAACTAGATGGTGCTGTGTGTTAATGTCCCAACATATTTATTTATTTATAAATTACAAGTATAATTACTTTATAAGTAATCTTATACCGTCACAACTAACTTATGTTATGTAGTGGATTATAATCGACTTTCATATGACGACCTTCTGCTATCCTAGTATCAGATCTATAATAAAGCATTGTCATGGAATTCGGACAGGCGGGCTCTCAAAACTTAAATAAATCGATAGTAGACTTGAATTTCAGTTGCAAGAATTGGCTCTCACGTATTTGCAGATGGTAAAGTTAAATAATAGTTGTCATTCTTTCGGTCTGGTCTGGCAGATTTGTTTATGAATGTCGACGTGAATCTGCTCTACAATGGTTCAGTACGTACAAGTGTGAAGTACCTAACAAGTGAGTGACAAGTGAGTGACAAGTCTGGTCTCAACGGGTCTTCTGGATAGGCCTGTCTTTGGTATGATCAACATATTGGCCTAAGTTGGATTGCATCTAGGAATTGCATCAGGGATTACGAAAAGTAGCAATACTTACAAAAGAATTACATGAACTCGCCACACACTGCAAACAATTTGTTATTTAGTTAATTTCTATGTATATACAACAAACACTGTGGCTAAGCTTCACAATTGATTTTTTTTTCTTTATTACGAACTAGCAAAACCCGCGGCTTCGCTCGCGCTAAAACTACAAAAAAATCTCTAAAAAGGTAAGTTTCATACAAACTTTCATCGCCTATTTTACCCCCTTATGGGATAAATTTCGAAAAATGCTAAAACATATATTTATTTAATTGTATTGAAGAGCATTAACACCAAGTTTCAAGTAATTCTGATCATAAATATTTATTTGGGTTGTATTATAACGTGTTTTGACGTAGGAATGAAATAATCTTCCGCAGTAAAAAGTAGCCTATGTCACTTTCCAGCCCTCCAACTACCTCCACACAAAAAATCACGCCAATCCGTCACTCCGTTTTGACGTGAAAGAAAAACAAACAAACACACTTTCACATTTATAATATTAGTATGGATGTCTTAATGTCAGGCTTTTCAGAGTCTAGAAAATTTATTTTCCTTGGTGTACAATAAAGATTTTATTGTCATTATTATTATTAAGTACAGTGTATCTCATAGCTGAGTCGATGGTTTATATTTGTTAAAATTTATATTAAATACATTTATATATAATAATTAGAATTTTTTCACAAATATTTAAATACATAAACAACCTTGCCAAAAGATTATAAAACATAATTACCCCCGCGGCACAAGTGTCCCCTGAACACTGCAATGTAAAATAAACTTTAAACAACACGCTCTAGGGAAGTAATGCTTTTTACTTAGAAAATTCAAAACTACAATAATCAATTATAAGACCTAGTATTTTACTAGGTTTTACAAAACAAAAAACTGTATAAATATTTTTTTCTTTTCAAATTTAAGTTGACAAACAGACTTTAATTTTTTAAATTTTTTAATGCAAAAGTACCTTTTAGTATCAAATAAAAATATTACCAAGTGCGAGTTCGTTTTGCACTTTAACTTCTTTGGGTTTCTTGTTGGGTTTAATATCATTCTTATAATAGGTGAGAAATATAAGAGTGATTTTGAAGGAGGTGAGGAGAAAAGTACCTACAACTACATGGTATGTAAATAAAATAATATATATTTAATCTCAATCCATTTCTAATATTAGAAGCCATACCGATGTATCACATCCCAGTTTCTTGCACTGAAATCAATTAAAAATCATGAAAAGAGTCATCTTAATCTTGATACTATATGTTTTAAATATGTAGGTATCATTTTAGTTATAAAAATATTTTATTTCTTACAACATACTCTTAATAAAATACTTTTGGTAATAAATAACTATAGTTTAATGTCAAATAAATGTAATATACCAATTATTTTTAACCCCCGACGCAAAAAGAGGGGTGTTATAAGTTTGACGTCGATGTCTGTCTGTGTGTGTGTGTGTGTGTGTGTTTTTCTGTGGCATCGTAGTTCTCAAACGGATGGGCCGATTTAAATGCGGTTTTTTTTTTCATTTGAAAACCAGTTTCCTTGTGGTGGTTCTTAGCTATCTTTGGTTAATATCGGTCCAGCAGTGTAAGAGTATCAGCTCTTTTCCAAAATGATGCAAGGCATTTTGGCGTATGATTACTCGATTAAGTGCTTCATGCGTGTTAGTGTAATAGTTAAATAACCATAAATTTGCGTAGGGGTTTTTTTTTAATTTTTAATTTATAATTTAATAGAATTACAATTATTAAAAACTCCACCATTGTAACGTATTAATCGAAAATATTTCAATATATTTATAACAACAAAAGACAATGGTTCTTTTTATAATTAAGTAATTAGTAAATTATCAGTACATATAAGGAGTTAGCTTAGTAATCGAGAGATCTACTTATTTTCAGTTCATTTGAATGTTTTTTAATAATTATGACAACTGCTTAATTTGTGCATAGCTTTGCATAGCTATGCTTAGATTTTCAAGATTATTAAACATGAAAAGTTTTAAGTAAACACTTATCTATTAAGAAATACGAAAATTCTTAAAGATACTAATACTATAAACTAATTAAAAATAAAAAACAAAATTCTGCCGAATTTCTTTTGCCAGTCTTTACGGAATTGAGGCTTTTACTTTCCAAGGGAGTAAGTAGACTTCAGCAAAAAATCGTATTAATTTAATGTTGAATATTTATTTTTTGAATTTGTTAACTTATAAAATATAATATATAATAGAACTCTTTTAACTTAGATTTTAAAATGGAAATGTATACTGTTAACATATTTGGCGACACGTTTGGCTCATTTGGTAGTGACCCTACTTGCTGTTCCAGCTGTCGCGGATTCGAGTCCCGCTGAGGGTATTCATTTGTGTGATGAGCACGAATGTTTGTACTCCAGTCATGTTTGTTTATATCATCACATATCATAATATGTATGTATTTAAAGTTATATATGTCTAGTGTGTCAACTCTCTGGTATCCATAACACAAGCCTCGTAGCTTACCATGGAGCTAGATGGTGCTGTGTGTTAATGTCCCAACATATTTATTTATTTATTTAACTAGTTTCAATTTGTTAAAATTAATTACTTACCCGCGCCTGGCAGCCTTCGCCGTAGCACTAAGTAAAAAATTTCCAATTTAGAGTATTTCAAATTACATTTTCATTCGTTAGCCTACTTTCATTAAAACATTATAAACATTACATAATTTTAATTAATCTTATTTTTTGATGTTATCCCTTATTGATATTTAGCAAAAGCTTTTTTTCTTTTGTAAAGAAAGAAAATCGCAATAACAACGGTATATTACATAATATGTACATAAAATATTATTTCTATACAAATCCTATATTATCTAATAAATATCTTATTTACTTAATTTGGATGTAAAAAATACGTTTTATTTCCATTAATATCCTATATAAGTCATAATAATAAACTATTTCTTATTATCCTTTTAGTTATTGAACAATCAACGGATGTTTCGATTACCTCTTAAAAGAAATACAACTGTGTAATTCAACTGTGTCTAATTTATTATATAAATATTGTCTTTCCATTATTGTTGTCATTTCTGTTGGTAATCTTAATAAATAAATGAGTGAATCAGTGAGCGAACGAGCGAGCGAACAAACGAACGAACGAACAAACGAATGAATGAATAAACAAATAAATAATAAGAATTTTTATGAGCAAATTTTTACTTTGGTTGCATTTATTTGTAAGGATGCAATGTCTTTATGAGTTGTAAATCTTTGTCGAGAGGACTGTAACTGACGATAAATGGCTAGAAATCTCCCCCAAGAGTATACTAAAAGTAATTTAGATTTAGCTTATTTATGTTTAAATGTAGTTAAGTTTTAAAAATGCTTCTCTTTTAAACTAAAACTATCTTCATGGCATGGTCACGGGAGAGACTGTAAGACATGATTGCTGCAAAGCATTCGAAATCCGCGAAATAATACGATAAGTCAAATATTCTAGTAAATCTAAGAAAGTATAATGATTCTCTGTATAAAAATGCTCCCTAACATTGTTATCAAAAAGTAATAAGTGCCTTGAATTTTCCTACACAATTTGTTTCCCAAATTTCATGTCAAGTATATATACAAAATTTAATATAAAAGTAGCAAACATCATAAATTGCGCAAAGTACCAGAAGGTTTCTGCTTCACTGAATGAATGAGGAGTCGAGATTACATTTTATTTCAATGATAATAATGATCTAATGTATCAAACATACGCGCTGTAAACGCGGTGTTTGTCGTTTTCTATACGATTATGTAATCAGCTTGTGTTATTTTTTTATTTAACTGACCCGACAGAATTTGTCTTTTTTCCTTTTTTAACCGACGTCCAAAAAGAGGAGGTTCTCAATTCGTCGGAATCTTTTTTTTTATTTATGTTCACTGATTACTTTAAGACGCCTGAACCGATTTGGAAATTTTTTATTTTGTTTATTTGGCCGAGCGGTTTTTTGAAGCCGACAATTTTTTAAGATATGAATATCTAATAGAAATATGAATTTTACGTATCGAAATATATTAGATGTCCTATGTGTCGGCTGGCACCGACTTCGAAAATATCTGATTAGGTATCTATTCTAAATGAAAACCCCCGTTTAGTAATTTTTTACATTTTAGTGCCTGGAAGTCGGTTTTTTTTACGTTTTTATTACTTATAATAAGCCCTTCTACCACGATTAATGGAACGAAAATCTGATGGGCAGAAGTTGTCCTGTTCGATGTTTTATAGATTTATCTGTAATCTTTAAGGTCAGAAGCTCTTTCTGCCGAATTTTTCAATCTTCCAGCAGAAAAACTCAGGCACTAAAATTCGCACGACCTGAGACTCGAACCTAGGATCTCGGGATCTGCGGTGGTCGTATATGCTAACCACTAGACTACTGTGGCAGTTTATACATATATACATAAGTTAGGTTATTTACCTCAGTTTCCTCATCTCTGCCTCCCATCACCGTTTCAAAGACCAGCCAATCATTCTGCTGGGCATTTTGAATATCTATATTTCTTGTTACAGTACGAAGAGCTGCAGCGTCTGTTGTGTGAACTGGTGCCGATGTTGTGGTCGTCTGACACGTTAAATTTTAATCTTCACTGTTATTATATAATAACTAGAAACGCAGTGGAGAGTTGTCTGGCTAGATGGCAGGGTATTCGGCAGCCAGATATTCGGCCTGTTTATTTTACGTTGTTGCGATAACTTTAGCGCCGGCCGCCGGTAAGCAGCCGGATATTGGTTACTATCCAGTTAGAAAAATATGGCCAGATAGGTCGCATACCGGATTGATCCTGGATATCTGTTTCATCTTATAATAACCCCTTTTAGTAAATTACCTCAAATCAGGAATTATGTGTAAAACCAGTAGTATAGCTAATAACTTAGCACTTTAAACATCACACTGCACGGTATTGGCCTCCTATCAGGGTGAAAGAAATCAAATTATACACAATGACGGTGGCCAAATGTTAATTGTGGATTTAACATGTCTTTTGAAAAGTAACTAGTTTTCGATAAACAGGGTTCTTAGAGACTTGGACCTGCATTGAATGCCTCGTGATGTTTATTTTCAATATAACATCTGATATCGGATCTGAGATCAGATCATATTGAAAATGATTCGCACAAGAAAATATAATAATTCTTCACTTGGTTATCAAGCGCGTTACCATTGGGCTACCATTGCTTCATTATAATATATTTATTATTTATTCATATATTTTATTATCTTTGATACAAGCAATTATTGAAATCACGTTTGGCTCAGTTAGTAGTGACCCTACTAGCTATGCCGACGGTCGCGGATTCGAGTCCCTCTGGGGGCATTCATTTGTACGATGAGCACGAATGTTTGTGCTCTAGTCATGGGTGTTTATTTTAATAATATGTGTGTATTTAAAGTTGTATATGTGTAGTGTATCAACTATCTGGTATCTTATGGATACAAAACTCGTAGCTTACCATGAGACTTAACTTAGATGGTGCTACTGCTGTGTGTCGTAATGTCCCAAAATATTTATGAATCAATCTATATTCCGATTTCAGTCAAACCAGTTGAGCCATTTTAGCGTAAAGAAAATATTGACACATTCACTTATAAACTTTTACATTTATAATATTAGTTTGATAAAATGTACAGAAACTAGCTCACCGTGAAACCCAACCGCTCCATATTGTAATCTATTACAGGAACAAAAATAGTTCCCTGAGAGAGAAATATGAAATTATTTAAAATGATATTTGTATTCGCAGTAAACGTTTGAAACATGACAGCTCGTACCGTATTTTCAAAGTTAGGCTTCATATTATAATTTAAATTCTAGAAATTGTGATTTTAAATTCTTTACTATTTCGTAGTGCAAGAAAATGTTATGTTGTAAATACTGAGAACTGATTTGATTTTATTATAAAATAGAATTTTTTAAAAGGAAAGTAATACTAGCAAAATGTACTTGAATAATGTAAAATTAAAGAAATAAATGTGTATGTACATATAATATAAATTTAATTAAAATTTATTTAGATTCCAGTTTTAAAATTTAGCTTTTTCGCAGTGGTTTACTCATTTTCATACATTTTTTCATAAGTTTTTTTATGTGCACTTTTTAACTTAAAGCGATAGAAATTAACTGTTCAATATGAAAATTATAATTGTAGTGAAGTGTATGGATAATTGGAATTTGTTTTAGTTTCATTCTTATATGGCAAGAAAATATTGAAAGGTGGTAAATTTATTACATCGTATACATACTCGTATATAACAACTAATAATATAATAAAGGATTTTTTTATACAAACATCTATCCGCTATATTTACGGTTTCGCTTCAAATTTTTTTTCCATATCTATACATATATTAAAACATATCAAACATACAAAACATAACAATTTTTTTCTCCATATCTATACATATAGTTACTTAGCGAAATCTGTATCTGTCTGTCTGTGTTTCACGCAAAAAGTACTAAACCGATTTTAACAAAATTTTATGCATTTAATTTTACTTATTACTCGGGCCATATATAAAATATAATAAATATAATAAATAAAATATAATACAAATCCCATTAATTAATTAATATTATAAATGCAAAAGTTTGGATGGATTTTTGTTACTCAATCACACCAGAACGGCTGAACGGATCTGGATGAAATTTGGCACAGAAATAGATTATAGTCTGGAATAGGATATAGGCTTTTTATTTAGGATAGATATGTTTTTGTTTTTTCACAGAGCAAGCGATCGACTGTAACCGTAAAACGTACCGTAGTCATAAATTAAATACATGTATTTATACACCAAATTTCATTTAAGCGGTTTTGCTGTCAAAAGGTATCGAACTGACAGCTGTCATACATTTTGTTTCACATTCGCTATATAAAGAGCATGAGCAACGCATTTAAATTAATATAATTATACATTTAAGTATAAAGATACGACTTTTAAAGTACAGGAATTATTCCCCATTCAAGATTAGAATTTATTCCTTATAATTTATATTATGTATTGTTTCTTCAACTGCCTCAGTGGTCCAATGGCTAGCATGTACGGCTACAGATTCAGAGCTCCTGGGTTCAAGTCCCGGGTCGGGCCAAGTTCAATTTTTATGTTAATACACTCTCAGTAGTAGCCTGGAGTTAGGAAGTTGACGGTATTATATTTCCGTGCCTCAGAAAGCACGTAAAGCCACCGGTCCTGTGCCTTCACTGTGGCTAGCTCTCACGCGGTAAGATTTGTTTGCTATCGATATCTTATCGTTCAAAAGTCATTTACTTAGTTTAGTTCATTTCAATTAAATTGGTGTTCTTTTTATTCCCGTTCATTCTGGTTATTCAGATTCTGAATAAATAGATATTATATTGGAAACGCTATTATTTATTTATTTTTATACTAGCGAGTGACTCACCCTCACTTTGCTCTAGTGCGCCCTTTTTTTGAGCGGAATCCTAATTCTTTTTCTAAAATAAAATTACCCCAAGTTACTCCTTATAACATCAGCTATCTGCCAATGAAAGTCTCGTCAAAATCAGTCCAGCCGTTTCGAAAATCAGCTGAAACAAACAGACAGACAGACAGACAAAAATTCTAAAAATTGTGTTTTTCTTATAAGTATGTAGTGAATATACTTTCATATGCTTTTAGCAAAAAGCTGTTATTTTGGCATTAAAAACAGACACTTTAATTTTATTTATCTGTATAGATAAAAAACAAAAGATATTTACAATATATATACATAACAAACTGTTATTGCTTCGTACAATTTGATTTTTGTAAATAAAATTACAAGTCACAAACATATTAAATCGATCAACAATAAGAAATTGGTTTTGTACGACATATTTCACGTAAACAATTACTGTTTGATCAACTGTTTATTTAAACAACTTATTTCGTTGAACAAAAGACCTCCGGCTACGAATCTTATTATCTAACTATCATTACCCGCGGTTCCGCCCGCGTTCAAATGACCCAAAACCAAATTCTTAGGTTTTACATATTAGTATATTCTTACATTGCAGTTTTTGTATTTTTTCTCAGAAATGAGACATTTTCCCGCGGTAAAAAGTATCCTATATGTTGACCCGGATAATCAGCTAGCACTAGATTTCATCAAAATACCTACAGTGGTTTTTCTGTGATGCGGTAACAGACAGACAAAAATTCTAAAAACTATAGATTCGGTATCGATAATAATGTTTATTTCAATAAGATTTTCGAAAGAAATATTTAATGTATAGATTCGGCTTAGTTACAATTGTATTTTATAATATTATTTAATATACCTAATATTAATAATATTAATTTTGTTCTATGTATTTAGAACAGATAAATGTTTTAATTTATATTATCTATGGAGGTTAATGGTAGTAAAATATTTCCAAAAAATTGAAAATTAAATTCTAGCTGACCCTATTGATACAGTATCATCTATTACTGTTAACTGTATGACTAATATTATTTTTATTAGTCCGGCTATTGAAAAAATATTTTTTTATACCTTAAATAACGTAAAGCATTTATAATATTGGGGGTTCTGAGTTCGAAATAAAAAAAAAGACCTAACGAGAAGGCTAAGGAGCGAAGGGTAGTGTATCTCAACCTACGTCATCCAGGTCGAGTCTGTCACATAATCGAAACTTAAAACTTACAAATAAATAACCATATCCAATCAATCCAATAATCCAGACAGTCTAAATTAAAAAAAAAATAGCTGGACAAATAATTATATAATAATCGTACAGTAACTGGATTAGTTACTTTCTTAAATTTTAGCTTAATTATGAAGTTAGAAATACATACATTAATGATGTACTCGCGATTTCTGCCACTGCTTGGATCCTAAAAAAAAAATTTTAGTATTTTTTTAATTTCAATAAATCAAAGGAACTTTCTCGCAAAAATCAGAAAATAAATTATTACCGTAATTTTAGCAAGTCCATCTCGAGTCTCATTCTATACGCAAGAAAATGTAAAATTTTATTACAAATTAATTTTTATGTTATCAAATTTATTTTTATGTGATATTTATTGTTAATTTTATCGTTATTTTTAAAGATTTTGAGAGCCTTTAGTTTAAATTAATTGCCGATTCTTTGGGCGGAAAACGGGTCAGTTCTCTTATTAAAGATGGTGGTAGAATGATGATCTATGGTCTTTTAAGAAGTTTAAAAACTAAATTATATTACTTTTATATTAAGTTTACTTTAATATTTTTACGTTTAAGTTTGTTATTTTTACATTTAAATTAAAATTATTAAGTTTAAAATTTAAATTAAATATTCAGGTTTTTGAATTCCAAGCCAAAAGGCCAAACGAAAAACTTTTAATGACCGTCTGTCTGTCTATATGTTAGAGTCATTTTCCTCGAAAAATCAGAAAATTTTGAAAAATTATTGACAATAGAACTTTCAAAATACTATGAACGGTAATTATTTTGTAGAAAATACATTTAGTAGTTTTTAGGATATGGCTAACTATCGGAAACACGTGTTCAGCCCCAAAAATATCCTTGTTTTTTCATAAAAAATATTTTAAAAAACAAATTTATGTAAGGAATCGTGTAATTTATTTGTGTGAAGTGAACATTTTAATTTTAAAGTAACAAATGTTTTATGATTCAGGACCTACGATGTGCGAGTATAGCTAAATTTTAAAGGTTCCCATATCTCATTTACGATGTAAGTAAATGTCTACAGTCAAACGCACGTAGCGACTCTTAAGCTTAGCATGTAGAGCTTCTTAAACATAGCAAGTCTGAGGAAGTTGTTATTTTCGAGCATTGTAAAATACATTACTTTCCTTAAATTCGAACTGAGTCGAATCTGTACATTAAATATTTTTTGGAAAATCTAATTAAAATTGTCATTATTATCGATATGGAGGCCAAACTCATAGTTTTTAGAATTTTTGTCTATCTGTCTGTCTGAGAACGCATCACGAGAAAACCACTACACGGATTTTGATGAGGTATAGTGATAGCTGGTTGTACGGGTCAACATTTAGGATATTTTTAATGCGGGAAAATATCTTATCTCTGAGAAATCTAGATATACCAAGTATCAACCGTTAAAACGTACCTAGGTAGGTTTGAACCCGAACGGAGCGAGGGTGAGTCCCTAGTAAAGATTAAAAGCTTTATAAATATTTACTAGCTGTTATATTTTATATTTTTGCTTCAGATTAAAATCCAATGTGAATCATCTAGTATATTTAGATAAAAAATACTCTCCCTCAATTTAAATCGGGCTTCTATCTATTTGAAATGTGTACATTGACTTACGATATAATTATTCGTATATTTGTTCTCAGAGGGTTATGCAAATGTATGTATGCGAAATAATTCTGCTGTGTAATAATTATTTTGCTGCTAAAATTATTCTTAAACTAATATAGCATATTTTAGGGCTGTGCAATGTGCATCCGAAGGGTGCCTACGGAACCCTATTATTAAGCCTGTCCTTCCGTCCGTCTGTCAGAGGACTGTATCTCATGAATCGTAATAGGTACAAAGTTGAAATTTTTACATTTCTATTGCGCTATAATAAAAAAAAAATAAAAATAATAATAATATAAGAAACATTTTTTTAAAGTTCGTAATCGATCATCGGAATGATACATATAACGTAGAACTACATACATAGAGTGAAAATCATATTAATTCAAAAGTACCTATACAGTGTACGAAAACCATCGTGTGCGAATTCGACTCGCACTTTTTATATTTAATCCCTTTTAAGGGCATTTAATAAAATTAATTCAAGTGTGACTTTTGGTTTCTATTAAAGATTTCAGGTATACATTTAAGTTTATTATTTTATTAGAAAGTATGAAACATAATAATTAATGTATTGTGCATTAAACTTAACAGGTCTTAGAGTGCGAGTCAGACCTAGCACTTGATTGTCAACTTACCGAAGTTACCGGCACCCACTTTATAGGTGAACCGAAGTCATCCTAAAATAGAAAATATGAAGTAACTAGCAGAACAAACAAATCAAAATAAAAAAAATCTCTATAAAGTTAGTTTCACACAAAGTTTCATCTCCTATTTTATCCCCTTATAGGATGATTTCTAAAAATGCTAAAACATGTATTTATTTATGTTTATTGAAGAACATTAATACCAAGTTTCAAGTAATTCTGAATTTTTTTTTTGGATTGTACTATAACGTGTTTATCCGTGAGAATTAGATAATCTCTCGCGGTAAAAAATCTCCACACAAAAAATCACGCGAATCCGTCACTCCGTTTCGACGTGAAAGAAGGACAAACAAACAAACACACTTTCACATTTATGATATAAGTATGGGTTATTTGATTTTTCGAATTTTATTCATAATTAAATACAATCGCGACAAGCTTTTTTTTATATCATATAAATTGTGTAATGGGGTATGATTTAATTTAAAGTTTATTTTCTTGTTTTTAGAGCATTTAAGTAAAAGCTTGTTTAAAAATATATATTTTTAGTATTAATTTTTGCATATAGTGTCCTCCAGACCACCTAGACATCAGTGCATTCTCTATTCCTTTTACTTTCAAAGTTTGATACGACCTCAATTCGACGGCTTAAGTGGTCTCCGAGGCACGGGGGTGAAACACTGCCAAATTCCTAACTCCGAGTTGTGTAGGTGGGTCTCTAGGAATGAATGGTTTAAGAATGCATAGAGAACAAACATGGAAAATTCTCTTTTTTGGGGTACCTTCGCGGATGTACCCAAAACATCTCACATAATATGTGACCAGCACCTGTTTTTTTAAGGTATTTCTTGTCTTTTGGAGGGCAGTGATTACTGGTATACACGAGTGGCAAAGTAAGTAGGCTATAAAATGCAAAGTAAACCAACATTTCTGTTTTGTTATATTAATCTATATAGATAAATAAAATTGAAGTGTTTACTTTTTACCAAATACATATGAAATATATACAATAATTCTAAGAAAACGCAATTTTTTACATTTATGTCTGTTTGTTTGTTCCGGCTAATCTCCGAAACGGCTAGACCGACTTTGACGGGACTGTCACTGGCAGATAGCTGATGTTATAAGTTTTGTACTCTTATTTTAGAAAAAGAATTAGGGTTCCGCTCAAAAAAATGTAATAGAGACGCACCCGAGCGAAGCGAGGTGATTCTCTCGTTACAATATGAGTATAGATGAATCTATTTTATATTTAAAATTTAAAATGAGACATTGATAAATATTTATCTGGGAACCAAAGCACATACAATTGATATTATTTAAATGAACTTACGTATTGAGGTAGAATATTATTATTTTGTTTTTGGTTGTCTGCTTTGGGAGGTCCCTGTAATAAAAGATTAATCCATTTTTTTAAATTTTTGAACTAATATAAATTTTAAAAGTGTGCTGATAACGGATTACTTACCAACGACGTGGACTGGAGATGGATTGAAGGCAGAGGCTATTATTATGAAAGAAATTAAATAACTTTAAAAAAGATAAGAATGCTCAAGAATTTATATTAAAAGTTTTTATTGTTTACGTGCTCTCTGAGGTACGAGCATGAAACTGCCAACTTCCCAACACCGGGCTGTTACTGAGAATTTATTTAACAGAAATCCGCAATGACCGAACTCGGCCCGAGCTGGGACTCGAACCCAGGACCTTCGTATCTGCGGCCATATATCCTAGCCTCTAGACGACCGAGACAGTTAAATATATACATATATTGTAGATATAAGTAACCTTAACAATATTCGCGGCAGGAGCCAAAATTCAATTAAAATAACATTCTACTAGCGACTCACCCTTGCTTCGTTTGGGTCGTCCCTGGCTTGATTCCCCATACAAACTTTCATCCCCGTTTCACGCCCTTAAGGAATGATTTCTGGGATAAAAAGTATCCTATGTCCTTTCCAGGGTCTCTAACTATCTTCTTACCAAATTACCAAATTTCATCTAAATCGGTACAGTAGATCCAGAGGTTACCCCTTACAACGTCACAAACTCACAAAGTTAAAAACTTTACCTCTTTATAATATTAGTATAGATTAATTATAGTACTTTATAAGAACTTATTACTATAGATATATGTACTATAGGTATGCCTAAACTTACATTTTGGGTTTCATATTTAGCTTCCTGTAAACTTGTTATGGGTGCATTCGCTCCACCCATCGTCCTTAAACTCTGCACATTAGACAAAGCACAATAATCATAAAAACTTACTTTAAAAATAACTTATAAAGTAATAGATTAGAAAAAAAAATCTACTGCTGGATACACGCCTCCTCTTAAAAAGAGACTTACGTCATAGTACCATGATCGCCAATTGAGATAAGATACTTCATATATCGAAAACTAATTAGGTCCTATAAGACATGCAGATTTTCCTTCACTGTTTTAGCTAACTAGAACTCGGTCAGTTGTCAAAATTCGACCATATTTTTTTTATTGATAGCACTAAAGCTTTTCAAACTAAACAAAAAAAAAAGAAAATCGATTAACAAACGGAGAAGAAAAAGGTACGGAATTATGGTATATTGAAAATACACAAGTTCCTATATAAAAATCTCAAGTGATTAAAACCAACTTCCTTGGCTTTATAATTAAGTAACTATAATACCTAGCCTAACCTGAACTAGCGGTCTAATTCGTAGAACCTACTTATAATATTTAATACTAGCACTGACCGCGTTCAGATGACCAAAAACCAAATTCTTAGGTTTTATATATTAGTATACTCTTACTTTGAAGTTTTTCTCAGAAATAAGTAAAAAGTATCCTATGTGTTGACCCGGATAACGAGCTATCACCATACCAAATTTCATTAAAATCCCTCCAGTGGTTTTTCTGTGATGCAAATGTAACAGCCAGACAGACAAAAGTCTAAAAACTATAGATTCGGCCTCTGTATCGATAATAATGTTTATATCAATAAGATTTTCCAAAAAATATCTAATGTACAGATTCGCCTTAGTTACAATTTTATTATATGTATAGATAATGTATATAATATTATGCATTTAACTTGTAAATAATCATCTTTTAGTTAGTGTTAGTGTGTGGCAATATTGTACCCCTTATAACGTGTAAACGGCTCTTTGTAATTAAAATTACTATATGCTCCTACGTATAATATGTAAGTATGTACTTACATTTAACTTTTTAAGAGCTAACTCCTTAATTTGGTACCCAGACAACTGTAATTGATTTTTTTTATATAAAGTTTATTTATGTAAAAATATTTTAATTAAAATTTCTTCATAATATTAGTATAGATTCAAAAGTGCTTATATAATAAGTCTATTTGAATAAAGAATAATAACATTTCAATTTCATTATATCGTAACAATACTAAGTCGGTCAGTCAAAAATGAATAATTTGAATTTATTGATTATTATTGTTTGTAACCTTTTCCGATAAGGGTCGGTAAGGTTTTTGTTTTGCCGCAATTCCATCGTGCGGTCTTATTTTGTTGGGAATAAAAATAAAATAAAAGAAACATTACAAAGTTTTATTTATACAGGAATGAAATTTCTTCTTGTATAACTTTTATAGCGGATTATAATGGCTGGTGAAATATATGATTTACCTAATACATATAATATTTATTGGCGTTATTATTTTTTTATATTGTAAAACAAGTTTTACTTGATTTCAAAAAGAATTATGTTTATTTAACGGACAAAATATGGTTATGACGGTCTGTGTATTCAGCCCTTTTTTAAGGTCCCACTGCTGGGCACGGGTCTTATCTCAATATAAGGGGGATCAGGCCACACTTCACACGTCTTTCGAAAACTTGCTAGGTTCTTTCGAACGTACAAGTTTCCATACGATGTTTTCCTTCACCGTAAGACAAGTGGTAATCATGTTAGAAATGATTCGCACATGAAAATATCAGAGGTACGAGATCCGGGCTTTGAACCCGCTTCAGTCAGTTTCCCAAGCGAGCGCGTGACCACTGGGCTATCACTGCCTGATGACGGTCTATCTAGTGGTAAATAATCGCTTTTAAACAGACCATCAATCGTCAATCAGTCTGTCAAACTGTCTATCACATGAACCGTCAATCAAAGCAATATGCAGAAGGAGTTTGAGGGAGACTTACTGATACGTTATCTCCCTTTAAGGAGTCTTTACACAAAACACTTGAATATACTCACAACTCTAGGAATACTAGGTGCAGGTGTAGGTAATCTTGATTCAAAAGGTATTTTCTACAAAAAAAAAAGCCAAAAATTATTATCAGATACTAGATAGGTATCCTATACACACCTCAGACCTCTTATAATAAATTTATAATTATTGTATTCTAGCTGGCCTCACAGGCAATTAATATCCTGTTCAAATTTTAGTACAAATGTAAATCTACGTATGTAATAGGTTGACAAAGTTTTTTACTTATATATTTTATAATATATATTTTTTTGGGTCAGAGGGTGGACAAATCAATTTTATTATGTAGAAGAAAAATTGAGATGTAATTGACATTTCATAAACTCAGATTTATTGTTTTACATTAGTATTAATAATTAAAATTTTGAAGTGATCGTGGATAATATTGTAACGATTATTAATATTATTAAGGTACAGTTAAATACAAAAGTTAACAACAGAAAATTTTTAGGGAAAAGTTGTTTAAGCCCTTACCTTACTTACCTTCTTAGATTTACGCAAATATTTGACTTTTTAAATAAAACTATCTTTTCGGGTACTAAAACAGGACAGGCATCTAAAACCGGAACACGTCTAAAACCTTAGTCTCTCCATGACCACGATTGTTGCTAAGCATTCGAAAGGTGAGGACCAAAAATCAAAATAAATCCGTGAAAAAATCTAAAAAGCCACTTTTATTTAACATTAGGATGGACCTAATGTTGTTAAGCTTATACAAGTTTTCTCTATGATCGCCTCTGAAATTAAACTCCAGCGATTAAATTATTTGGAAGCTTTGTTATTTTAGCACCAAAAGAGCAGTGAGCGGCACTAGCTAGATGTAAATTAGTCTGTAGGTGCAATTAGTCAACAAAGAACGACTGTCATTGTTAGCATTTAGAGTGCATACATTGTGTATTAACGGAGACTTACTTTTAATGTTGGATATAACTACATATTACTGTGGTGTTGTATTACTAGGACTGGTAATCATTATTACTGGTTATCATTTATATTGAATATCGAAATTTTGTACTACCGTTGAAAGGTATGTTTTTATGTTTGTTTTAACCATAGTAATAAGTATTTAGTAACTCAGTAGGCAAATACCTACTGAGTTACTAAATACTAAAATTTGGAATGGCCTATTTTAAACCTCAGGAATAACCAATTAGGAGTCCACTTTTAAAAATGAGAAATCAAGCTCAATGAAAAATATTGACAGTTTCTAAAAATCAAAGAAGTCACGGACATAAGCTTTAATATTTTAAATATGAAAGTAATCAAGGTAGGCAGTTTATATTTTTGTAAAACATAGAAATTTACCTTTTCATTTTCATTTTCTTCCCAGTAAGCACCCATCTATAATAAAAAGTATATTCAAATTTTAATGAAACTCATTTGAGTGTTGACATAAAACTTTTATTAAGTTATAAAAATGTAATAAAATAATTAAACAATCTTACGCCTGGACTGGGATTTATTACGGGTCTAGATTCCTATAAAAATAAAGCATAATGTTAAAGACATTACTGAAAAACAGTAATGTATTTTTTTCTAGTCCTTAAGCATAAAAAATTTGCATTTAAATTTTTTTTCTATTCAGTCCTATTTTATCGTTCCACTGCTGGGCGTGGGTCTCCTTTCAATACGAGGGGGATCAGGCCATATTCCATCACGCTGGCCCAGTTCGGGGTAGCGGGCTTCACGTATCGTGTGGAAACTTGCTGGATTTTCTCAGACTTTCAATATATATTTATTTTATTTTGCACGTCTTCTTATATGTACGGGGGGTATAAAATTTAATAAATTTTGTTTGGAAAAATGTTTTTTAAGGCCCATCAGTAATATAAAAATATCAATATAATATATAAATATATATATTATAATATCAGTAATATAATAATATCAGTAATATAATAAAAGTGTGTGTATGCAATTCAATCATGGTAGAAGTGAAACTTCGTTGGCAAATATCGCAACTAAATTAAAATAAATCAACATTTAAATAGGCATATTACAATCATATATATATATATATATATATATATATATATATATATATAATATAATATAATATACGGAGAGAATATAATATTATATATTTGTCAGACAATAACAACGGCAAGAATTAGTCATAATTGCTTTTACTTAATTTATGCACATTCATCCCATAGTAATAAATATTTTCTTTTTATAAGTAACAAAGATCATAAAAATCGTTCCACCCGTTCTCGAGTTATAAGTGTTGTAACAAACCCGAATTTGTTTTATATATTGTGTAATGTATTCTATCTCATTCTCTCGCCGGCTTAATCTTATATATTTATGTGTTTGTCTCTTTTTAGCGTCGCATTTCCGTTTCATTTCCTTTTCATTGAGTTTCAAATAACAACGATTCTAAAGAAGTTTCACTTCAAAATTGTTAAAGAAATATATCTATGTATCACATTTCTGTATCATCACATTTCTAGAAAAGGGCATTGGGTAAAACGGTTCTTTTACTGTATATAAAATTAAAATAGATTAGCAATATCCTATTTGTATTTAAATTATTCTAAAGTAGCTTTTATGAAATAAATTTAAATATTCTCACCACATTTCTTAAGCTCATGGGTCTTGGTTGTTCTGGTCTTGGCGCCTACAAAATATGCATGTATTTATATTAAACGAAATTTATACTCAAGATATTTTTAGGAAGTATGTATGTACTGTATGGGTTTTCATACAGTTTTCATCAATAAATAAATAATATAAATAAATATGTTGGAACATTAACACACAGCAACACCTAGTTCCATGGTAAGCTACGAGGCTTTTATTATGGATATCAGATAGTTGATACACTACACATATATAATTTTAAAGACATACATATTATGAATATAAACAACCATGAATGGAGTACAAACATTCGTGCTCATCACACAAATGAATGCCCCCAGCGGGACTCGCACCCGCGACCGCTGGCACAGCAAGTAGGTACACTAGAAACTGAGCCAAACGTGTCGTCAGC